ACTAGTTCGGGGTGATGTCCCCGACGATCGTCGGGGCTTGTTGCATACGACTTCGGGGATGTCCCCGACGATCGTCGGGGCTTGTTGCATACGACTTCGGGGATATGTCCCCGACGATCGTCGGGGCTTGTTGCATACGACTTCGGGGATATGTCCCCGACGATGCGTCGGGGCTTGTTGCATACGAGTTCGGGGATATGTCACCGACGATCGTCGGGGCTTGTTGCATACGATCTTCGGGGATACATCCCCGACGATTGTCGGGGCTTGTTGCATACGACTTCGGGGATATATCCCCGAAGACCTTCGGGGCTTGTTGCATACGGCCCCAGTGCTCAGCATCGATTTCGATCCTGTTTACATTGAAGGGATCCTCCACGGAAAAGGCTCCGCCCTCATTACCACAGAAAACGATACCTCAAAAGAATCTTCCACGAAAAGAGTGATCATTTTGTCTTGTGTGTAGGATTAGTATTATCGAAACTAAAGCTTATGTTCCGTTCTTTTTGCTATGCTCATGAGGCTAGGGGCCTAAGGCGCGTCGTTTTTCTGTGGTAATGGAGGCGGATCTTTTCCCGCGGAAGATTCCTTTAACTGAAATGCGACAATCTTGGAGCTCCGCTTGTTGAAGGGCTCACTCATAACAACCACTTTGAAACTGCTCGCTTCTCATTTCTTTTTTCCAGCGCGCTGCCGCAGCTCGGAGCACCCATACTACCTTCCTTAACCCTATGACGACAATGCGTTTGCACGTAGCGTGCTCGTGGGACTATGCCTCTTCTTGGCACGCCCGAATCTCGCAAATCATGGGCCAATTTTGTCCCTAAAAGCAGTTCTTCTATCAAGATTTTAACTTTGCAATATACAACATTTGACTGCAGCCTTAAGCTTCATGATCATACATTGTTGGAATTGGAATTGGAAGTTTGGAGAGAGAACTCGGATTTCAAAGGGATGGTGATGAAAGACCCTAAAAGTTCATACGCACAGTAGAGTTTTTGATATAGTTCAAACTCCTCCTTGTGTCTTAAAGCTATAAAAAGACGTAGAGGTCTTGACCAGTAGTTCACCTTAAGCTTAATAATATGTAACACTAGTTAATATGTCGCCAAGCGATGAGCCACATTCTAAAATTTCATATAAAAGCTAGTATCAAACATTTCTGTAAAATATACTAAGCGTAAACATAACGAGTATTTATAATTACCGCCATGTGGAAAATGTTTTAAATGTGTATAGAAGAA